ATCCGCTAGCGAACAGTATGCATATACTTGGGTCCATACAACCCCAAGTCATTGGCGAAATAAAGTTTCCTGTAAGAAGTTTTGAAATCTTTACTGTTGGCAGACTGCAAACTGAGGTAAGCTTCATCTTGAAAAGACTCTTTTCGGATGGCGAGGGGCTATATCAAAATTGGGGGGCAGATTTTAGGCCTTGATCATATGGGTGTTTTCAATAACGAGTTTCTATAGTAAATCAGACTGGTCTTCGACTATGTCTAATCTCAACTCCTATATAGCTATTCTCAGGTAAACGCAGAATACGTTTGTATATACATGACCATGCATTTGGAATCGTATTGATATGTATATAGCTATATATAAATATGCCTATTATTTGCAGCTTGATATATTCACCGAATTATCACAATGCCAAAAGGCATACATGCACTAGAAACGTTCCTGCGTGGTTATACAGGGTGAGTAAAAAAAACCGGACACTTTGAAATTCAAATTAGTCGCATAGCGGCTGTAATGTGACAGAACTTGCTTAAAATATTTCATAGGTATACGAAGCATATCATATTAATTAACCTAAGACATAAAGTTTGTTCCCATTGGGAGTTAAAATGCATTCTAAACTCTGTAAATACAAAAGAACAGTATTATCAAATCGTTTTTGCTGATTGTACATGGGAATTGTCATATTCCAGCCATAAGTTCGCAGCTAATTTGAATTTCAAAGGTGTCCGTTTTTTTTACTCACCCTGTATAATATCTGAGTGTTATTAATTGTTGATGTCCAAGTCAAAGTAAAATAATAATAAGTCGTTAGGTATATATACGTACATAATTCTAAGCACTTCCATGTGATAATGCATTGTTTTAATTCACAAAAAGGGCTGCAGTAATCAATGTTAGGCTACGATATAAAGATCAGCATATGCATAACTTGTGTTCAGGGCCGTAGCTTGACCGCTTAATTGGGGGGTGTATATTCATATATTTATGTGTATATACCGTAGAAACAATAGCTTACAAAAGAAATCAGTCGGGCATAGGACGAATATATGAATATACACCCCCCAATTAGCTTCTAGCTACGGCCCTGCTTGTGTTCAACCCTTTCTCATATATTGGCGTTATATATCCATGTCTTGTTAATTTCTAGATATATTCCTTACCCAAAATGGATTTCCGTCTGAATGTTTGTCTGTTGTTGATACTTTTCGTAGCATTTTCTGAAGTTGATGGCCGTACATCTGTAGAAGGTATTTTTACCTATGAGGGAGGGGTCATACAATAGGCCTATCAGCTGGCCGGGGGAGACGCTATAGTTGCATGGTTAAAGGATACGTAAGAATTTTTTTAAGAAGGGATCGAAAACTTCGCTTAGTGCATATAACTGTGGGATATCTTCATTCAGATTTTTCAAAATGAAAACTGAGATGTGTCCCTGAGCTATGTGCTTAGCAAAAAGTCATTCGTGGCCATTGGCGTAAGCTAGTTGCTCTCGTGTGCGGGCGACTTTTTCGGCGACTTTGGTCATTCGTGCCACTTTCGGCAAATATCTAGCATGTTTGATAATTTCTGCCTCGCGTGTTGAAATCTTTCCGTGTGCGGCAAACTGAAAGCTATCTGCTTATGGACTGTCTTAACAGCGCATGCGTAATATACGAAAGTAAACATCCAAGATAGCGGTGCAAACAAAGCAAAATGAATTGCTGGCTGAGGCCATATTGGAAGACAAACTGGTTGATCTTTGGCCAGAATACAGGTGTTTATACGATGTGAATTCTACAGATTTTAGAAACAGAGAGAAACGGGAATGCGTTATTGCAGAAATAGCTAGTAAGCTTTCTCAAACAGGTGAATATAATTAATAGCACTTGGATAACGGTGTTTAGTCTAGTCCGACGCAACAGCAACAAAAATAACAACGCCTTTTCGTCTTCACTTTCATCCTTTCATCCAATTTTGTTTTTCAATCTGTACGCCATCTTAGATGTTTACTTTCGTATATTACGCATGCGCTGTTAAGACAATCCATAAGCAAATAGCTTTCAGTTTGCCGCACACGGAAAGATTTCGGCACGCGAGGCAGAAATTATCAAACATGCTAGATATATTTACCGTGAGTGGCACGAATGACCAAAGTCGCCCGAAAAGTGGCCCGCACACGAGAGCAACTGGCTTACGCCAATGGCCACGAGTGACTTTTTGCTAAGCACGTAGCTCTAATGTGCGCCGGCCTTTACTGTGGCGGTCAGTGTATCAGACTCAGCAAAGATTGCCCTGAAAACACTGTTCCGTGCACCTTTCATTGTGGTGCATGCCATTCAAAATGCTGTTGGTAGGTATTGTCTCTTGTAATATTATTTTCTTTCCAGTATGTTTTAATTATTCCCTCCACAATATTTTAGCGGAGACTTTTTCCTTTTCAGCCAATACTATGGATAATGAAACTGAAATGATTTAATTAAGAAGTTATTGAATGTAATGCATCCAATTTACTTTGATTAATTAAAGGGGATGATAAAAAATTCCACTCTATATATTTGGGTTTATTCGACAACTTCTGTCATACGGATTGTTTATTGTTGATTTCTATTATAAAACCAGATTCCAACCAATTAGAACACATTACACCAGCTTCTGCGCATAGGTTTTGCACATACCGTAGCTATAGTTAATACTTCATTTAATATCACCGTACCATAACTCAGATACCTCCATACGGTAGGGAAAACAAAACTGATTTTGAAGGTATTTTTGGGTATATATATTTGGGTACAGATGGTCTTACAATCTAAGTTTATAAGATTTAAAGATTTAAAGACTTAAGGAAATCACTGATGAAATACTTCTAAATCAAAACCATAAAAGTTTTACTTTGAAAAATACAAAAAAAAAAACGAGAATTCGCAGAATTGTTAAATTTCTCAGGGTTTCAGTACCCCGAGCAAAGAAAAGTTATTCAATGGCTTATTGTTTCATTGTTACATTATATTGTTCTGTATAAGTTATGCAAAAACGTCTATATTGTTTTTTGAGGAAACGAAAAATTCTGGGCCTTTGGCTCTCGAAAAAAAAACTCGTGAGATATAAACATAATCAGATAAAATTTTCATGGCCCAATATCGAAACTTTTTTCTTGACGATGAACAAAAAAGCAAGTACAGTAAAATGTAGGAAGGCGCTCGTAACATGCAGAATATAAAAAATGCTTCCTTTCCATTTCCAATGGTGTTGAAAATGAATCAAATTTGTCAAATATATTTTGCATTATTACACGCGAAATTTAGGGGCTGATTACATGAGCCCTCTTACCCGGGATTCAACGAAGCGTGAGATGACTTTGAGGTATTGAAATAAGTCTTTATGATACCAAACAAGCACATGCTATTGTTGTGGTGATTATATGATACTGCCAGGATCATGTTATCTGCTCATTTCAATACCTCAAAATCATCGTTGAATCTCGGGTAACCGGGCTCATGTAAACAGCCCCTTAAATTCGAATTTTTTTTATACACCCTGTATTAACTGTGATATAATAAGCCATATAATTATATTATTTTTGCCACGGGGAGTCTATACAGGGTGTATGTAAAATAGATGTTAATTAGAAAAAACGTGTTCAAGCATACGACATCCGCTCTTCAAAATGTCGTTGATCGATCCACTTCAAATGCAATCTTGAAGTGAAGCAAACAAGATCACAGACTACTAGGGATTCGACAGCAAGCATTTCCAGGTATATGCGTTCAATTTCTCCTTAATAATAATACTACTTCATAATGATCACTTGCATATTTTCGATTCAACGTCCCTGTATGATGTTTATTGTTTGTGCTCATTGGCAAATATATATAAAGTGAATTTCGGGAAGCAAATATCCTTGTTTATATTTATGCCATATGTAGGGAAAATCCTTGCAATAAATATGTTAGCAATTATTTAAGTCTCATTCACTGACTTGTAAACGTTGTAAGCTGTATAGCACAAAATATCTAACGCTCAAACTGGGAGAACACATAGAAAATAACAAACAATGCTCGTTCGTGTCCGAGACGGTAATTATCATACATTAACATAATTATCTTAAACTATAACATCTCCCTTTCTTATGAGATTTGGTCTTTGTCACCATGGTTTGCTATAACATGGTGTAACGTAATGTCAACCGTTAATCCGTCCATCCTGGTCAGCTTACTGTAGAGTTCTATGAGAGGACCTAGTCTCCTAGCCCTGCTGGTACTCAGTGGCGTAGCCAGCCCGACAATTTAGTCGTGCTATGCTAATATTTTGGTGTTCATTGACTGTGAAAACTATGAATTTCTAAAGAAATGAATTATGATAATAACATGAAATTTGCATAGCATGACTAAATCGTCAAGCTGGCTACGCCACTGCTGGTACTTGCTTCTGTCGTCGTGCCCTTTTGGCAATCTCCGGTTCCATGTCTGGATTTTTCTGCCGGTCGTTCGTGTTTTGCCTCATCATCTGACATCTCCTCATCCGTTTCCCTATCTTCGATCGATTCGTCTTGCTCTTCGTCTGTCTGCTTTGAGTATTCGTCGTTTTCTTCCACTAGAGGATTTGCAAGTTTGAGTTGGCATCTTTGATCCATCTGATAATGATAGAGGATCCTTGGATTTTTGTAATGTTGTAGAACGCTGGCTCGAATGCGGTGGACCATTTGTTTTATTTCCTCTGCTTCAACAGTACGTAATCTTTCACAGTAAGGGGCTGTTTACATGAGCCCGGTTACCCGAGATTCAACGAATCGTGAGATGATTTTGAGGTATTGAAATGAGCAAATAAAATGATCCTGGCAGTCGTATAATCACCACAACAATAGCATGTGAGCTTAGCATGTGCTTGTTTTGTGTCATAAAGACTTATTTTAATACCTCAAAGTCCCCTCACGCTTCGTTGAATCTCGGGTAACCGGGCTCATGTAAACAGTGCCTAAAGCTGTGTTTCTTGGTGTTTCTTTTCTGTTGTGACATGCGGATTTTTTATTCTTTGTCTCGTTCGTCGATAGCCCTGTCCTTTTCATTTCGATCACTTTCCTGCGCGTCTGCGTGGTTTAATCTGGTGCGTATTGGTCTGCCCGTCATGGCTTCATATGGTGTAACCCCTGTGGCAGGGTGTGGGGTGTCCCTGCAAGCGATTAGCATGTTTTGTAGCGCGAGTTCTCTTTCTGATTTGTTCTTTCCTTGTAGATGGGCGATCTTTTCTGTTTTGTTGAAGGTCTGCATGAATCTTTCTGCCTCCCCATTGGCCCTTGGGTGCTCGGGTGTGATGCGATGGTGCGTAAACCCTTCCTGGCTAGCAAATTGTGCAAATTCTTCTGAGTTGAGAGGAGGACCATTGTCGGAATCCACGCGTTTTGGGACACCGTGGTTGGCAAACATTTGTTTTAATCTCACCTGTGTTGGTTGAAATGATGTTGACGGCGTGTCGTGACCTCAACTTCCGGGTAGCGAGTTCACTTGTCGACTGCCACTAGGTTGTAATGGCCATCGGGGCATGGCCCAGCAAAGTCGATGGCGATTTCTTCCCACGGCTTCTTTGGGATTACAGTCGATTTGATGGGTTCTTCTGTATGCTGTTTGGTGATGATCTAACAGTCGAAACACTATTCAATGAGTTGGTCAATCATTCCATTCATCGTTGGCCACCAGTACTTTGCCCGAAGCATTTGCTTAGTTTTAGTTTTCCCATGATGTCCCATCTCGTGAGCGATCTTTATTATCTTCTTTTGTAGTTTAGCGGGTAGGATAATCTGATTCATCCGGTAAAAGAGACCGTTCGCTTCACACAGCTCGTCTTTGATAGCAATGAACGGAGAAATATCATATAATAATAATTTATTTATCCATCTTAGGTATAAAATTACAATGGATTTACAATTACTAAATATGATAAAATGTATGTATAATTTATATACAAATATAATAAATTTACGATTTTAAAATTATGTCTATAATAGTGCATTAGTCCTTGGAATAAAGGGTCCTTCTTCCAGGGTCCTTCTTATGCGCCCACCAGTCACCGTCCCTTCTGACGCGACGGAGTTTTTGGAGAGCGTTGTCTCGCGTCGTTTCTGCCTTTATTATATCAAGGATGATAGCTGGCTCAGCCTCGGTGACACTCTTGATGATTTCTGCCGTTTCTTTGTCTCCTGTGAGGGGTAAGGTGTGCCACGAGAGGAAGTCCAAAGGATCAGCCTCATCTTTTCCAGGCTCATATGGCATTTCATAGTACACATTCTGCATGTCTAAGACCCATTTCTCGATGCGTGGCGGTAGCATTGCAGTGGCTTTGTTGAAGAGGGGGAGCAAGGGTTTATGCGCTGTGACAATGGTGAACCGTGGTGCACCCAGTAAGTAAATGCTGAATCGATCCTTCGCCCACTTAACGCACAACGCATCTCTTTCAGTCTGACTGTATCCTCGCTCGACGTCGGTAAGTGTGCGGCTGATAAAGTGGACTGGCTGCAACCCCTTCGCGGTGCGTTGAAACAGACCAGCTGAGAGACCTTCATTGTAGTTTGCTTCTGTGCGAACCATGGCAGGTAGTTGAGGGTCGAAGAATGCTATGGTATCGTCGTTGGAGATAATGCATTTTAGCTTCTCAAAGGCAGCTTGTTGTGCATGACTCCAGTGGAATTTATTCTCGTTGTGGGTTAATTCCCTTCAGGGCTGCGTCAGAGAGGCGTATCTGGGGATGAATTTTCCCAAGTATCCAGTCATACCGAGGAAGCTTCGTACTTCCGATTTTGATTTCGACGGAGTGCACTCTTCGCTGGCTCTCACTTTGTCCGGTGTCGGGTTCAGCCCTTGTTGGCTGAATCTGTAGCAATAAAATTCCAATTCTCGCTGACCGAACTCGCATTTCGTCCGGTTGAATGTGATGCCGTAATCAGCTGCTCTCTGTAGGACAACTTCGAGCGTCGCATTGTGCTCAGTCTAGTTTCGTGCGCTGATTTGTAGGTCATCTTTTTGGTTTAGGCATCGGGGAATATCGCCAAAAACTCTCTGCATGGTTTCATCAAATAAATATTGCGATGCCTTCGCTCCAAATACTAGTCGCGATTAATTCCTCAGTAACCTGTCCTCTAATGTTTTCCATTTGAGCAACTTCAGTTAAGAATTGAGTCAAGTTCCAGGCCTTGTTGAGGGCTTTTTGGATGAGTGTTTTGTTGTCTGTTGTTTGGATAATGTGTTCCAGAATTCGGTCATCATAGGTATCACCAAACTCACAATCGGTTGCCTTTTCTCGCAGTCGTGCTGCATAGCTGGTTGTTGATTCCCCTGGTGTTCGTCTTAGCTTGAGAAACTGGTACCGGGCATAGTGCTTGTTCTTCTGAGGTAGATAATAGTTGTTGAGTTTTGTTCGCAATTTCTCATAGGGGTTGCTGTGTCTGAGTCGGGCAAACTCTTCTCTAGTTTTGCCACCTCTCTGCGGCCATATATAATTAATGCATCCTTTTTATCAACGGGCTCAGTGATTTTGAAGTATGTAAACTCCCGTTCAATACCCTCCAGCCATTCTTCCCAAGCCCTACTATTAGTACATGGATCGTCCGGGGGAACAAATGGTCGTGATCGTAGGTTTCTAGTCTCAGTAATAACTCGTACTGGTGGTGACGATACTGCCCCGTCTGCAGGCGTTTCGTCGGTCATTCTCGCTTGTAGTACTCGCAAATTGTCTTACCTAGCCCTCTTAGGGTACTTTTCCTCTCTCGTCGCCAATGTTAAGTCTCATTCACTGACTTGTAAACGTTGTAAGCTGTATAGCACAAAGTATCTAACGCTCAAACTGGGAGAACACATAAACAATAACAAAGCATCCTCGTTTCTGTCCGAGACGGTAATTATATCATAAATTAGCATAATGACCTTAAACTATAACAAGATATCAAAAGTTAATAAAACGACTTAAAAAACTTAGGGGCGTCAAATTTGTAACAGCCAACAGCTGGGTTTAGCAGACGCAACATTACTCTACGAAAACCAAATCAATATACATCGGATCAAACTATAACCACGCTAGAGCAAATGACAAAGAAAAAATTTAAATTATTATTTCAAAAACAAAAATTAGAGGAAAATTATTCACCGAGAACCAAAAGTATTTTTTATCAAAAAGCAGGAGCAAGAAGACTCGATTTTTGTCTTTGGATCGCGGTATGTCAGCGGTAACTACCCAGGCCATTTAGGACCATGCGGCGTCAGCAAAGCCTAAAATCCGCTATCTTTTTTGCCTTCACATGACGATGGCGAGCACTCCCTCCAGGAATTATAGTATAGCTCAGTTATGTGTAGTCAGGTAATTGCACTGATGAAGACCCGGGTTAATGGACCGAAAGCTTTGCAGTATCAAATCTTTACGTGGTGTACCTGCAAGGTAATTTACTTATCGGCTGTAACCATTGAAACTTACAACAATATATGCAATGCCCTCAATATTAATTTCGGGTAGAACTATTACACTTAAGGTGCGTGAAAAATTAATGTTAATTAGCAAAAACGCGTTCAAGCATGCGCTATTTTCTTTCCAAAATATCAAAATTGACGAATAAATTAATAGATGTGAATACATTTGTTTATAAATCCACATATCAAACTTACAAATTACCTGCATGATTCAAAGCACGAAATCTGCCAATGTATACCAGTTCAAAAACACTCTAAATTAAAGGGCTTTACAGTCAATTTTACTTACAGCATTTTCTTCTTCTAGTCTAAAAAACGTGAGTAAGTTTGTTCTGTTATCCTTATAGCGATTGCGTTTGTGCCGTTGATAAATACACTGAATTCGAGCCGAAAAATAAATGAAATTTTTAAATATGGAAACATACAATGACAATAACTGCAGATCTCGAGGGCATAGCTATAAGCTGTTCAAATATCCAAGAGATGCTCATGTCAACAACGTATTGAAAATATACATATGTAAACGACAATTCTTCAGTCAAATTCTAGAGTATTTGACAACAAGGACATATAATGTATACAAAGAATTTATAAAAATGTAAGCATTTTTATTAAATTGATATTAGGTGCAATAATTCATTAGTTTACGTACATGTCCTTGCCGTTCATTTGTATTTTTACACTAAGATATGGTAAAACCTTCTAAACATTGTATTTCGATCTTGAAAAGCATTCCTCGAATATCTGAAGTAATATTTTCCTTTTTTCTAATTCAAATGGTCAAAAATACCACAAATTTGTATAAGAACTCACTAAAACCTTTTTTAAAATAACCTATATGACGTGAGCAAGAGTGGGGGAAACATTAGGCTTCGAGCGCTCAGTCTATCTAATATAGGTCAATTGTTTCGACTCGTCCTAAACAGACGCATGCGCGTAACTTACAAAAACACCCAACGTCCTTGACATAATGGATGACAACTTCCATTTCGCTTTGCATTCCTGGGCCTGATTAAAATCTCCGGGTGGGATTAGAACCCTGGATCAAGATCAAGTTTTCTATAGGGATAGTTATGGGGATAGTTAGGGATTGAAGTATATTATATCAAATGTAATGTCAGCTTTTTAACACTATTATTATAACACTATTACTATTTAAGGTGTATTATACTATTCAAGGTGTTTCACCATAGACAATCCAGAAGACAGGGACTGGAAACGCTATTGTTTTCGCGTGCGCTCTCCATGATACGGCCGGCAGATTTTGCGGGCTCATGTAGAACTCCATTTTCGAGAACAACAATGGAGACACTTCTTAGCAAAAAGAAAAGGCACGCAGTTATTTGGTGATTTGTAAAAGAATATGTTGGTAAAAGCAATAAGTTAACAGTTTATTGTTTTTTGTTTAAACTATCTTCAAATGGGACTCTAAAACTGGCTTAAAGTAAATTTAATAGGCACATATTTCGAGGAAAACAATGGCGACACTCGGTTTAGCAAAAAATACAACGCACGCAGTTTTTTTATGATAATTTCACTTTTTAGATATAAGACGATGTTGGAAAATGCGATAAGTACACAGTTAGTTGATTTATTGTGTCAAACTATATAAAAATGACCCTCTGTGATTTTATGATTTTAATGACCCTCAAAGTGATTTTATAGGATCCCAACTAGGTACATATTCTACGAGAACAAAAAAGTGATATTTTAACATCAAAACACGACGCATGCAGTTATTGGCGATTCTTAGCTTTTGAAGCGCAAAAAGAGGCTGAAAAAGGTAATAGATGTATACCCTGTGTTATATTTTGTTTACACAATGTAAAACAAAGTTTCTCAATTTATCAAAATTGTAGTTACAGTGTACAAATTAATGGTGCATATATGGCGGTCCTTTTGTGGTTGAGACTGAAAAAGGTTCTTACTGTCGTGCTCATGCTCACACACTAGTTTGCATGTAGTTAAAAGTT